CCGCCTCCGCGGGCGGCGGGAGGTGGGGAGGTGCCGCTGACTCACTTCCCGATACCGCCCTCATTTATTCAAGTATTTATTTCTTTTCCTCCCAAGCGAAGCCGCTCGGCGGCTCTTCCCGTTTCCAGGGGAGGCCAAGGCGCCCGCCCGGAGGAGGAGATCTCCCCGCTGCCCCCGGCACGGCCGTGACACGGTGACAGGGGCGAGGCGGCACGGCGCTGTGCACCAAACATGTCGCCGCCTTTCAAGGCTTGACGTTATTGTAAATCCGTGCTGTCTGCTCCCCGCTTTCTCCCTATTTTTTCTTAAATATGCAATACCACAGCATTAGTAACTTTCTGTTGGTCACTCATATAGAAAAGTCTCCACTTTTCCTACATTCAGCCATAATTTTATTCTGTATCCTTCAAAAATGCTAGTTTGTTCCCAGGAGAGTGATCTTTATGCACTGCGGTGCACAAGTTTTACATATATATCCAGCTGATGTTCGTGCCCCTGTCTTTGCTGAGCACACAAGTGCTATTACTAACTACGCTGCCTTGATGTCTAAGCAAGATTTCCTTCCTTAAAGAAAGCGATACGCAGTACACGCCACCCGTGGGCATATACTACAAAAACACTGGGCAAAGACTACGTACGTACCGTGTCTCCCATGAATGTCACTTTCCTGGGAGCTGTAAGACTCTTTCCAGAAAGTTAATTGCATACTTGACTGTCACATGTTTTTGCTAAGTTCATATTTATAACCAAAAAAAAAAAAAAAAAAGGGAAATGTGATTTAAGAGGTGGCAGAGCAGTCTTCTATTTAACTTGTTTAGTTGTATAATTAGATTGTTTTTTTGCAACTTGCAATTTATATATGTCTTCTACTGTTTCTAAAGAGCCCGCTGCTTTCCAGAGGCAGCAGTAGGTTTGGCATCCAGCAGGTTGTGTGACATGGGTTTCACACGGCAGTGGATCAATTCCAGGTACCCGAGTGAGCAGAATTAACTTCATTTTAATCACAGAAAAGGAGAACAGGACGAGTACCGGCTGCTTTGAGTCCTTGGGAGTTAAGCCAGAGTTTGAAAACATGGTTTTACCAGGAGGGTTGGAAAGGGAAGAGGAACTCCACGCAGGATTGCAGCTCCGTCATGTTGCGCTGTGCTGAGCTGACACACTGAATCAGAAGTTCCAGAAAAAGGTAAATTGGTGGCTTGGGATTCCCAAGAGAAAGAGGGGTTAGAAAGGGAAAATTAGAACCAAAGATTACTGCATTGGGAAACCCCCTTATTTTTCTTCAGTATTTTTAAAAGTATTCTGCCAGATAAGTTAAATGGCTCTACAGGTGGGTTAGGATTTCATAATTATGTGGCATAAATTGCTGATAAAATATTTTCAGTGCAGATTAAAGCTTTAAAATACTAATTTGAGATTCTGCTGAAATTTAAGATTATAAAAGTTAAAGATAGCATAATGTCAACTCAAGTTTTGTGTTTGGTATTGGGATTTCTAGTGTAATTAAGGTCTGCATAATTAAGGTTAGGTCAGGTCTGTGCACACACTGATGGTGTACGGGAAAGCCGTGTAGCAACACCTTTTGACTGTGTTTCCAGCTGTAAATTGATTCACAGCGGCATAGCTCAAAGGCTTGGATTACACTCGTAATACATGCAGTTGCTTTTCTTTTTAATCATTCACTATTAATTATTTTTTGAGAAAAACCCCTCAGAACTGTTTTTTTTTCTCAATTACTACAAATCTTGTTTCAGCTGTTTATCACTTATAAAAAAAAGTCTAAACTTTTAACATTCTCATACTATATGGTTTTACCTCTTTGGTGTCCTTAAAAACAAGCAGGATCCCTTTGCGCAAGGTGCAAAGCGAGCTGCAAGAAAAATCAATAGTTGGTTTAAGGACAGTCTGTAACTAAATGGCTGACTGATTATTTTTTGCTTCCTCCTTTTAACGAACAAGGAGAGAAGCACTCGCATGTTAAACTCCCTGTAGCTGTTTATGCAACAGCGGTGCCACCTCAAACTTCATTCCCATGGGAATAACTCTATCCAGTGAGGAGCCTGTGTGGAACTTCCCAAGTGTGTGCCCCTGGCAAGCAGGGAAGTGTGATCAGCCTCATGGGTCAGACCCTGCTAGAGACAGTGTCTAGCCAAGCTGCTTGTGCCTGTGCTAATTTGTGCATTCCTGTGCGATGCAGTTATTGGGATACAGTGCGCTTGCAAAATAAGCTTATTTAATTGTCAAAGCATTGGCCTTTTCCACTTTTTTTTTTTAATTTGCTGAAGAGTTAAACCTGTAGGAAGGTCTAAAGCAGTGAGCAAGCAGAACTGCTAGACAAACTAATCTGATTGTACCGAAGTAATCCCGACATAATAAAAGAATGCAAATCAGAAAGCAGGAATCCAGATCTCAGGGCCTGAGCACAAGGAGCAAGGTGACAAGCAGATTATTTATTTTTCTTGCCGTTCTGGGGCTGCCTGTCAGACCAAATCAGAACAGCTTTGCTTCTCGTTGCAAAGGCCTTTAGCAAAACACAGGCCTATTACAGTGTGATTTGAATATGTGCAGTTGGCAATAGAGAAGATGAATAGAACACTAGTAAAAACAACTGCTAATCTGATAATCACACTTTGATGTTATTTGTGCAA